TGATTAGTCACATACTAGAGCAGTCCAAGTTTCGAATTTGGCTGTTTTTGGACAGCTATAAAACCAGAAGTAGATGTCCGAGGGCAAATATCAAAGTATAAATTGATAACCAAGATCAATGGCCTTTGACCTCGCATAAGTTAAGGTCATCAAAGGTCAAGGTCATGAGATATGACTCTTGGAACTTCGGAATAATTCAACCGCAAATTGCAAAAAAACCAAAGCGAAATTCAAAAAATGGCTAAGCCATTATCTCTGAATAGATTTAGATGCATTTCAGAAAAATCAAAATGGCAATCAAAGTATTACGTTCGATCCTCATTTTATCTTCTGCATTTTTTGTCAGAACGTTGGCAAAAGAGTTTTTTTTGTCAAAAATTTCAAATTTCGGCAGAAAAAAGTTTGCGACAAATTTTCGAATTTCAAAAAATTTTAACTGCTATCATAGCAGATATTACATGCAGATTCTGAAAATGAAAACTCAAAGAAAATCGACCCAAAAATGTGACCTCTAGAGCTGATTTTCCACTTTTTGCACATATTGAACTGTGGCACTTCCATTTTTGCAAATAAGTTTCAATATACATTTATGCACATTGTCGCCTATATAGAAGGTCAAGTAAAGTTGAAAGGTTGCTTCAACTACTGCAGTCTAAGCACAGGAAGGTGTGTAAAAACCAAAAAGAAAATAAACAAATAAAAAACCAATAACAAACTTTGACTTTGCAGAAGCAAAGTCTTACAAATATTGAAATTGCTAGTAAAGTGCCAATTTCTCTCTTTTCTTAACACCATGTCAAAATGATACATTTTGGAGAAATTCTGGTTATGGGTCATTCAAAATGATTGATAAGTAAAAATATATATCAACAGCCTTGTTTTTTGCTCACTGTAAGAGTTATTAAGCCTATTAACTTTTCTCTTTATTTTAGTCTGGGAAACTAGTAATGAAAATGTTTCAAAAGATTCAAGAAATAATTGATGATCCTGATGCTTTAGTTTTTGTTTTAATAGATGAGGTAAATATTTTTATATGCCCACATGAATATGTGTTTGTATATTGTTGTTGCTCCTGTCCGTCGGCCTGTCCATCAACATTTCTTGTGGACTCAATAGAGACTACAGTTTTCATCTGATTGTAATGATACTAGATGTGAGCATTGGGATTGATAAGATGGTGGTCAAGTTCGAATTTGACGATTTTTCAATGAAGTTTTTTCAGGCACTTAATCACCCAATCTTCTCTTTTGATTTATCAGCTCATCAAGAAGATCTTTTCAAAACATAAATATTCATATCGAAAAAACACAAGGAGATGTAACCGGTTACTGTTTATTATTGGAAGAAGCAAAACATTTAATTAAAATAGCAGATAGAAGATTGATAAGAATTGAGTAAAAAATACACCCTTAAAAATGAAGCCAGAAACCTTAGTCAAGAAAATAATAGAAGCTATTGAAACAGCTTCACCAACTACAATAACTTATAATGGTAAAAAAATCAACATAACTAAAAAACTTATTGATAAATACACATATTGTGAAGTCAGAGACGATATAGACTTAGAAAGAATTGACACAAATGCAAAAGATGGTGGATTTTTACCTTTCCTACCTTTGATATTTGCTGGTCTTTCCGCCTCTGGTGCTGTTGCTGGTGGTACAGCTGCTGGAGTACGTGCTGCCAATGAAGATAAAGCCGCTGCAGTAAAAGCTGCTGAAGAACATAGACATAATTTAATAATGGAAAAGGAAGCAAAGAAATTAGCTCTTGAAAAAAAAAAGGTTCAGGAGTGGCAAACATATTAAGTACAGTTAAAGAATTTGGAAAATGATTTGGGGGAGAAACCAAGAAAAAACTGTTAAAGAAGGATTAAACACTATCATAGACAAAATCGACACAGGAGAAATGAAAGTCAAACATAAGGGTAATGGAATATTTTTAAAAAACATTCACACAGGAGAAGGATTATTTCTTTCAAAGTATAAAGGAGAAGGAGTGATTTTTGGAACAAAAATATAGAATAAAAATTGGGAAGAAATTCAAACATTCAGAAATATTTCCTAGTAACCCAATGCTTTTGTAGTTCCGGTTCTGGGAAAACTCATCTCACTTTTAACATGTTGACAACACCAAACCTTTTAGATATCAATTCTCTCTATATCTACACAACAACACCAGAGCAATCGTATTATCAATTCCTCAAAGCTTTAGAATATTTACCAAAGAAAGATGTTCAAGACATATTTCAATATTATGAAGAAAACGAAACAGAAGAAGTGGAAATAAAAGATATCATAGATAACTACATTAAAGCAAAACATAATATTGTTTGACGACTGTGTAGCGCGAAGAAATCAAGCTGTTCAACAAGAATTCTTCACGAGAGGAATACATCACATCGGTCACTGCATATACCAATCTCAATCTTTCTACGGAATGGATTCTATGTTTATTAGAAAAAATGCAAATTGTTTTTTATTATTTGAATTAAACGACAAAGATTTATCTCAAATCATTCAGTCTATAAATCACGGAATGGACAAAGATACATTTAAAAAGGTTTATAAAGCTCAATGGAGAAACCCAGAAGATTATGGATATGTATTTGTTAATACTAGAAAACCTGCGGGTGAAAGAGTTATGATCGACATATGTTAATTTTATTTTTTTTAAAATGTGTAGCGATTGGAATAATATTTTAAAAAGAAATAAAGAATGTCAAAGCTAAGAATAAAATAAAGTCCCAAGTAGAAAATAACAAATTACAACAACTTGGATTAACAGAAAATCTACAAACTCTATTTCAACCAATATTAAAAACTCAAGAGGATATTAAAAAGAAATTAGCTTTAGAATATAGACCTCCTATAGAACCTCATAAAGATCACCCAGAACCGAATCAATATGGTGGTATTATAATTCGCCTAAATTCAAAATCGATATAAAAGGCTTAATATTTACATTAACAAAAGGATTAATAGATTAAATGAATGGGGGGGTATATTCCCATTGCCGATCACAAGGATTTAGTAGCATACTCAAAATTTCTTCATGCAATAAGAAAGTCAGGACCCGAAACAAATAGGTCAAAACAAGTTAAAACATATATAATAAAAGTTATTGGTGATGAATATGAAGTTGACGAAACAGATGATGAATATGAAGTTGATGAAGCAGATGATGAATATGAAGATGAGGTATCAGATGATTAAGCTGAAGACAATTTAATTACACAAGAAATAGACGGTTTCGAAAATATGGTAGCTAGAGAAAACAGTGGACAAAATATAACGTTTTTATCCGACAACAACGAGGAACTACTTAATAGATTACAAATGAATGAGGCAATGAAGGAAGGTCATCGATCACACAGACAATTTAATGATAAAAATTTTATACTAAAAAGACTCCTCGAGAAAGGTATCATATATAAAAATGATTATAAAAGCGTCATTGAAACTAGTCTTCAAAAAATGTCAAATAAAGAACAACTATTCGTTATCACCTCAAATAAATCAGACATTAAATTGTCTCTAGATTATGAGTACGAGCTCGATCGCAATCAAAAATATGAATTGGGATTAAAGTATTTCTCTGTTTACAATTTCATGAGAAATATCTACGAAAAAAATAACCAAATAAAAATATCAACAGATAATGGAGTTACATTCAAAACCATAAGTTTACTACCAGGAAGCTTCGAATATGTAGCCATTAACGATTACCTTTCTGAATATGGAGGAAGTCTAAATGGTAGAAACAATATTGAATTCGAAGGTAATTTGAATCTGAACAAAATAAAATTGATATTGAGAATTAATAGTCAAGTTGATTTCAATGTAGAAAATTCATTAAATACTTTACTAGGCTTTGATAAAAAAATATACACCCAATCCACTTTAGCACCACACAAAGCTAATATCGAAAATGTCAGATTATTTACAGTATTCCAACATTCACTGTACTGATAGGATATAGAATTATAGAGAAACCATTTCAAACGACGTATTTACCACTTAATTCGTTCATGATTAAAACTATAAATCTGGAAATCAAAGACGGTAAAAATAGGTTTATAGATTTTGGTAATGAGGAAATTGTAATTCAACTTAATTTAAAACAAAAGAACTAAATTTATTCTGTAATTAAACACTCTTCATTCTCTTCTTGAATAGTTAGATACCGTATATTTCCTTGTATAATGCGCAGGTTTTTACCCTGAAAAGGGCTACACACAGAAGAGGTGCGCACTATACATGGTGGAGAAAATTTTGAGTATTTTTTCCCCACGAAAATTCTGTACATAGGCCATTGGGATCTGCCATTTTAGTGGCATTATTGTTCGAAGTATATGATCGCTTTATTGTAAAAAAATAATGACCCAATAGGCCTATTATGCATTTGATGATTCTTTTATTTACTTATATTTCAATAAATAAAGTGATTCAAGTGATTTTTGTGTTATTTGAACAAAAACTTTTCTGTTGTGATAGATGAAGGTTCGCTCGTAACTTTCCGGTATTTATGAAAATAGATCACGGCACAAGTATTTATAATTATCTCAGCATCAAGTTCTTTCCAAGCTTTCACGATCCATTCACACATAATGTCTAATTCAACTTTTCTTCGTGCACCTGCCTTAGTATAAGTATGTTCACCACCGGCCATCCACTCGGCCCACATCTTTCGTACTGCCACCTTCATTGGTTTATTAATCGACACATACAACGGCTGTAGAATGCTTGTTAGGCCACTGGGTATTATCGCCAATTCTGTAGTCAGTTCTTCTTTAAGGAGATCTTTTACGCCAGAACTTCTGTGGCAGGCATCCAATACCAACAAGGACTTCTTCTTAGGAGCAGCACCTGGACGTTTACCCCAAACTGTCTTGAGCCAATTTTCTGTAAGGTTGTGGTCCATTCACCCTTTCTCTTGACATCGTACAATTATACCAGACGGAAACGTCTTACGGCAGAAGATCACATAAGGTGGCAACTTCCCTCCATCAGCTGTACATGCTAACATCAGCGTAAACCTGTTCTTTTCGTTACCAGTTCTCGTTCTCAGATGGACGGTTTTATCTCCTTTCGTAGTTATAGTGGAAGCTGATGGGAGATCGAACGTCATTGGGGTCTGGTTGGCATTACCAATCTGCGAGAGGTCAAAACCATTCTTCTTTCGTTGTTTGATTATGAATTTCTTGAATTCCATCAACTTCTCTTCGTGGTCACTTGACAGTTTCTGGGAAATGTTGTTCTTCTGTGTGAGAGGTGGTTACGGTTGAGGAACTTATAACAACATGATGACGTAGCCCTGAAAGGGGTCTGTAACTTCAGCTGCTTTTGGACCTTTAAGACTTGAATACGAACTTCAGTGGAAGCCACAGGGAGGCCTTGTTTTCTTCGATCTAAGTCAGCACCTCAGCTTCAACCTCAGGGAAAAAGGTCTTTCTTCCACGTAAGGCACACTTGGTCTTAGGCATCTTCAGGAGACTACCCCGCTTACTGCGCCAACTCCTAATATTGGACTCGTTGATATTAAATTCACGACCAGCTGCTCGATTGCGGTGAGCCTCAGCAAATGCGATGACGTTCAATTTCTCCTTCGTGGTGTACGCAATACGACGACTAGCCATTTCAAATGATATTATATTAGGAATTAAATATGAGTTAGGACTTAGAAAGCAAATAGGAGTGTGAGGACGTTCGTATTCTAACCCTTGCTATATATATTATTCTGTCGATATGGCTTCCACACTTCAAATAACTACGGCAATTATTCAAAAGCACCCGGTAAAATGAGCTCTGTTAATCTTTGAGTTTGAGTTTACCTACCGTAATTGAATAATGCGGTACCTTCAATGAAAGTGTGTTTATATATTTATCGATTTGTTTAGCCTTTTAAAACAACATGATTAGTCATCACTTCTCAATTCTCAATAGACCAACGACTCAATGCGTGCCAACAAACAAATGCGTTTTAAAAAACTAACAGAGTGATTAAATGGATTTTATTATACAATTAAATAAAGGTAAATTAAGGTAAAGTAGAATTTTCAAATATATTATAGATGATATCGTGTCAAATATACGAGAAGATAATGTTGTCTGTGATGTGCCAATTCTGACTTCAAATTTTTCGTAAACTAGGGGTATTTTTCCCGATTCTAATGGGAAAAGAAAGGGGAGCGCATTATACATGGATGCGCATTATATTCGGAAATATACGGTAATCGAAATCATCAAATTCGTAGTTTTCATCCATGTTCAATTCTTTTCCATCGTTGTAAGGATACCTGATTCCTTCATCATCTAGTGCTTTTCTCTTAACGAGATTTAAATAACTTCTAAAAACTTTCTTTTGTTTATCTTCATCATTTGGAATAACTATTCCATCAGAGAAAGTCTTTCCCCATGGTTTCTTAAATTCATTCATCACATCATGTCCACTATCTAATTGAATATAATCATCCACCTTAATCTTATTAGAATAATCTTTAAACGTTTTCTTTTCTTTCAAAACACCATCGGAAGTTAAAATTATATTATATTTAACTTTAGGTGCTAAATATAAACCATATATAATTCCACCATCACCGTAATCATTCTTTCCATTACAATAATCAGTTTCTGATACTAACCCAGCTTTATTTAATTTATCCCAATTTTTAGAAGAAATGTATAAACTATCAGTATCGGTATAGTAAATTTCCGGTTTATAAAATCCATCTATTACGTGAATGAAATTATTCATTATTTTTTTACTGTGAGATAATACGAATGATCCCAAATGACTAGGTGTTAATCTTGTAGAATCCTTTGAAGGAATAAATTCTTTTTCTTCTTCTTCTATCTCAACTATATATTGTTCATAGTTTTTAACATGTGAATCGAAGTTGCTTTACTCCATAGATGTCTCGATGTAGTTATATCCTTCTGCATAGATTTACCATACAATGAATTACCTAATAATTTCATGCAGTTACTACCCACAATATTTCCTTCTTCTTTATATTTATTCCTTAATTCCTTCAAAATTAAAATGTATTCTGTTAAAATTGTATTATGTATGGAGGAGTTTTAAAATTGTCTTCTTACACTATACCATCTAAGATTTTGATAATTCGTCCACCGGCTTTAACTATTTCTTGAATATCAACTGATGTTAAAACATCATAACAGAAACCATTTCTAAATCTGATTTTAGTGCCAGTTTCCTTTTTTCCATCTCTATTCGTAAAAGTAATTTTATCCTTAGCTGGAATGGGTTGGAAGATCATGTTGGTAGGATATTTAAACCAGACTTTTAAATAGCAGTTCTAGGTCTGAATTTCTGTTCATTAAAGAGCTTAACAAATTCTTCATTTTCTTCTGGTAGAAACGGTCTTCCCCTTTCCGCTTTAGGATATTCACTGTCTAAATCTGACATAGCAGAGGCATACAACCCATTAGCATCAAAGGCCATTAGTTTAGAATAGTCCAGCTCTTTGAGTTTAGTGTGAACTTCTGTTTTATCTTGTACATGTGATGTATTCTTTGAATAAATTAATTATATTACTACTGTCGAGTTCTGTGTATTCCTTTAATATATTACAAATCTCATCCATTTTGTCTGTTTCAAATGATTTCCTGTTAGCCGAAACTGTTCCTCCTTTAATAGATTGTCTAATAAAATATCTTATAAAAGGATGAGTGTGTGAATAAACCTTTTCAATGTTTTCTTTTTCAGTGTGTTTCGGAACCATTCTAGTAGTTTCATACCATTCTTCTTCAACCATTTCTTTATTGTAATGATATAAACAATACCAACCCTTTAAAGATAAAAGTGGAGCCGTTAGATTATTAGAAACAATCTGGAATACAGTCTCTTTCATAACCTTGTTGTATTTTATCAAACAAGCTCCAAGACAGAGAGTATCTCTTTTCACATATGGCTCCCATTCATGTCTTAGAGATTCACAATTGTCCTTGGTGTATTTAGTAATTTTGATATCAGTGATCTCAAATTCATTGGTAGATTAGATGAATTCCCCCATGCGGCTAAACTAGATTTTTCATGTTGGTAGGAACATATGAAATTAATATTTTGTAGATAGAGTTGCCAGTTATTTTTTTTTTTTGTCTTTTCCAACTTTTTTGTAAATCTTCATCGGTGAAAGTATTAGTTAAAAGTAAAGATAGAATGCGTTTAGCTGATACTAGTGGACATTGTTAGTTTTTTTACGTTTTTCAGGATGATCCAGTGATCAAAACCACTACCGTTATGAGAAATTAATGTTAATCTCTTTCTATCATATTGACCTAAATGTTTTAACATTTGATCTATACAATCTGTTCCTGCAAATATTTTTACTATATTCATTAATCTATTGTAAAATTCTGATGGCTTGAAATCTAAAGTCTCATTAAAATCATAAAAATCATTTAAATAATTATTATAATCATCTAAGGTTTTTCTTAGTTTTTCCAAATTGACTAAAGTACAACAATAAGGAATAGCTTTATTAACCCCCTCTTCACAATATTTTTCCCATACCCCAACGAATAAACAATCATCATGAATTGTTGGAAAAACATTTAGTTTTAAAGGTGAAACTTGTGTTATGGCATTATCATCTCTACATGTTTTCCATACCTGTTCATATTTTTCTTCTTTTTCTTTAATACCTAAAGCTTTGTTATTCTTCTTATCAAACAGAAATATGAGTTATGTAAATATAAAACCCAATCTAATTCCTCGGATACATATCTTTGATGAAAATGACTGTCTTTAGGGTTATAGATTTGAAAATTTGTATCAAATCGATTGTTGAATAGCTTAATTCTTCCTACTGTCATGACTCCTTTTCTATTAGCTTTTTGAAACTGTTGACGAAATCTTTTTATTTCTTTAAAATTGTCTTTACGTAAAAGGATTTTTCCTATAAAATACCAATGAGATGCATTTGATTTTTCATCCATATTAGAAAAGATTTTCTGAAAAGTCTTGGAGTTTAAACCAAGAAGTTTCACCATCTAATTCAATTTGTCCTTTAAATGTTGAAAATTTATCAAGAACAGCCTTAATAACATTGGAAAATACACATTTGATATGAATGTTTCATCGTCTAAAATTTCCATTTATCCATTTTCTTTTTTAAGAATCTATTTTTAACTAGGAATTTTTAACTTTTACAGATGATATTTCTACATCAAATTTATCTAAAATTTCATTGAATTCTTCTAATTCTTCAAAGGTTATCTTCTCTTGATCTTTCAAAAAATATAAATAATTTATTAAGATATGTATTTAAAATTGTTGTTTTCTTTTTATAATTTGGTGCAGAAAAGTAGGACGTAAAACTCCATTCATTTCATTTCATTTCTTTTTATAATTAGATTTCTGTTTTGATGTATAACCTAATGTTATCAATCCACAAGATGAAATTTGAATAGCAGTGAAGGCGGCTAAAACAGTAGGGACAATTATTGGAAGCATTAATCCACCAGTTACGGCTGTTGCCACCGTTATCCCTACTGTTAGAACTGTGCATAATGTTTTGAAAACAGAATCAATTCTACTCCATGTTTTCCTGCATTTGTTGAAGTGTTTTAGTTTTTCTTTTAGTTCATTTTGTTTTCCTATCGTGTAGTTTTGTCTACTGTTTTCCATTTTTAAGGTAATTAAATTAAATGAATTTCTGATAAACCAAAAGATGGAAAGTGTTTAACATGTACAATAGGTTGCCCAATAAGATCTCTATGCTTTATTTTTTCATGATCTGTTATAATTATTTCAGGTTTAAAAATAACAACTTTTACAGTTACTAACGATATTTGTTCTTTCGAATCATTAATCTTATTCAGATGAACTGAAAATTTTGTTTTGTATTTGTTGTTGAATATAGGTTTTGATTTCCCTATCATCTATGTTTTGTATTTGTCGTTGAATATAGGTTTTGATTTCGCTATCATCTATGTTTTGTATTTTTTTGTTGAATATAGGTTTTGATTTCCCTATCATCTATGTTTTGTATTTGTTGTTGAATATAGGTTTTGATTTCCCTATCATCTATGTTTTGTATTTGTTGTTGAATATAGGTTTTGATTTCGCTATCATCTATGATTTGTATTTGTTGTTTTATATTTGTTAGTTCTTTTTGTAATTCACTGTTAAGTTTAGTTTCCAGAGCATTTAATTCCTGTTGAAACGTATCTTCATTTTCATCTGGAATGTTATCTATTAATTGTTGAATGTCTAATTTTTGTTTTGCAATCTTATCATCTAATTTAGATATTAATGAAATTAAATTTTGTAACTCAGTTTTGTTCACTACGTTGACAAATTCTTTTTGAATAAAAACATTCTACCTCTTGTTGTAGTTTAGTTTCATTAACAAAATTTTTATTATTTAGTTGACGTTTGAAGAATCTTTTAACATTACTTATTTTATCTTCTAAATGGTTTTTATTTATTTCAATTGAATTTATTTGTTCCCGTAAATATCTCATTATCATTTTCCGGAGATTTTAAATTAGCTACATTGAAATTGTTCATATCTAAATCACCTTGAGGAGTGTCTCCGATTTGATCCACAAAGTAAGGTTTCGTTTTATTTATCCACGCTGTAGTGTTAGGTTTTTTAGTTTCTAAAGATAAAGAACCTAATCCAAACTTGTTCGCCAATTTTATTAAGTTATTTATTTCATCTCTCATACAATAATTAAACGGTGATATATTGAACTCATTCGCCCATCTCATAAGTTGGAAGTTTGTAGTTGTATCAGTTCCATATTTATCGAGAAAGCTATTCATATAAAAGTC